GCACATCCCCAGTGGGAGGTGTGCAGGAGGCAGCTGATCGGTGTTTCTCTCTTATCAATGTTTCTAACTCTCCATTCCCCTCCCTTCCTCTCTGTAAAAAATTTAATAAAATATATTTTTAAAAAACGGTGGTACATATACACAATGAAATACTACACTACCATAAAAAGAAGGAATCCTTATCACTTGCAACAGCATGGATGGACCTGGAGAGCATTATGCTAAGTGAAATAAGCCAGGCAGAGAAAGATAAATACCACATGATCTCACTCATTTGTGGAATATGATGAACAACATAAACTGAGGAACAGGGACAGATCCAGAAACAGAGAAGCATTGATCAGACTGTCAAACCTCAGAGGGAAGGTAGGAGAGTGTGGGGGTAGGGGGGGAGAGATCAACCAAAGGACTTGTATGCATGTATATAAGCCTAACTAGTGGACATGGACACCAGGGGGTGAGGGAATGAGTGGGAATGGCGTTGGGGGTTAATGGAGGGATGAGGACATATATACAAATTTAAAAAACAGAGTCAGTTTTTAAATTTTTCCAAAAATTAATTTAACAGAATTAACCTATGGAAAAACGTAATGAAATAATTAAAACATTCATAAACTCAATCTAGCAAAAGAACCCCTAACATTGGGAACTCTGCCTTCTTTCATGTTGTCCTTCAGCCTGGGCAAAACCTTGGCTAAAAGTTACAGGGTGGACTTACTGGGATAGTGCCACCTACAGGACGCACAAAAAATGCACAGATTACTGCCATTAGTATCTCCCAACAGGGGAGTGGGAGTGGAGGGTATGGGCGGAGGGGGGGCAGTCAGAGGAAATTATGTCCACCATATAATTAGGGCAGTGGCAGCCTTGTGCTATTGTCTGTTTGTCCTTCTACCTGGAACATGAGTAGTGACTAGATAAATAAGAAGTAACTATATTCACATGTTAATCAGATGCCAAGCACTTCACACATCTTAACTCGTGTATTTTACCACACCACACGTACCATTGTCTCCCTCTAGACAGAGAGAGAGAGAGAGAAAAGGAAATAATTTGCCCAAAGGGACACAAGTATAAAGTGCTACATTTGACATCTGAAACTGAGTTGGTCTGGATTCTAGTCTATTTTCTTTTAGCTAAAGTGGATGCTAGCAACTCTGAATTACACGAATGTAATTCCTGGCAGCTATGCGTGTGAACAACACATGTAGGCTTATTGCATCACACTACAAGGTGTGTGTGTGTTCACATACACACATACATATGCAGACTATTCTCTCTATTGACAACACAAATGTTCCCCCTTAGTTCCTGAATTTCTACCAGTTACTCTAGTTTTCTGTTTGTTTTTTTCCTGAGCCTTAAGACAGAACCTTTCAATGGGATCCTTACATCAGAAAGGCCTGGGAAGGCAGCTGTGCCGAGCCTGTGATGGGACACAAGCCACAAAGACCTCCAGAGAGGAGTGGGCATTCCCTGAAGGGGAACACAGGACTAGCTGAGGAGAGGTACATGGGAAGACACACCAGCACCCACCCTAGTTTTGGATAATGTTGCATAATTCATTCTGAAGGGACTCCCCAAATTGTAAGTGCCTGCATTCGATTTTCAATACAAAAATGCATTTTAAGTTCAAATATATATAACTGAATGACCCACACACTGTCTCCACTCTGTTAATTCAGTGTTTCCCAAAGTGTGGTACGCATACCCCCCAGGGGTATGGGAAGAGTTTGGTGGAGGTACGCGTTGCATCGGAGTTTGGTGGGGATATGCACTGCACCATGCTTAGCTGGGCCTAATTCTATGTTCTCATGAGTACGAGGGGTATTCAGCGTTACGAAAAATTATAGAAGGGGTACACATATATCAAAAGTTTGGGAAACACTGAATTGTAGATAATCAAGAGTTTACTCTAGTCAAGTCTATTGAAAGACACACATTCAATGGACCAACTACAGTTAATATGGAGACAGTAACGAATAAAGAGAAAGTACCTAAGACACTAAAATTCAACAATGACTGAAAATAATAACTTATGATAGCCTTCTCATATTCCTAAGATGTGTCATTTTGTGTGGATTTCTTTTTCAAAGAACTCATGAGTAACAGAACACATACCTTCCAATTTTATCTACAGCCAAATCAATTTGCAATAAACTTTAAGTTATAGAATGCCTAGATATTTCAAGGAATGATATACTGCAGATAGGTAAAAACAAATAGCATTCAAAGTTAATCCGATATTAAAGAACCACCATTTCCTGCAGAGTGAAAACAAAGAAAGATTTGAAAACAAAGGCAAAGTAAATAGAATGACCACTAAATCTATCGATAATATTATTAAGACAATCTGAGACTCTTTAATGATTAGTTGTATAAGTATGGTTTCTTGGCCATGTAGGAAAAGGAAGAAAAATGTCAATAAACATAATCATGCATGCTCTATGAGCTAATTAATGAGTTAGAAGTAGAAAAGAATCTTAAATTTAATGGAACCATTGTAATTGCCATAGCTATCTAGCTAATTCTACTAATAACTAGCCAATCCCTGTATTAGTATAAAGAACTCAACTCTGACCCAACACCACTCCATTTCAAATTGCATTTAGCTTTATGCTTCATTACTTTAACCTTTATATTAATTTTTATCCTTAGACTTAAGTTCACTGCAGAGTCTAGTACACAGTTTTGCTGGCATTGCAGCTGTTTGTTTGTTTTTTTCTACGATGAGTTATTAGTCCACAAAATGGGAATGTTTCCTAATTAGGATTCTCTATAGAGATACCAGAAGGTAATTGGTTAGGCCAAAAAGAACCTTCATGATATTAGGAAAAGGTTGAAAACACTTTAGATGTGAAAATAAACAATAAACTTGGGAAAGAGAAAGATCTTCAAATAGAATGTTCTCAATAGGGATTAGATGATGTTTTAGATGCTGCCTAGACTTTAAAAGTTGGTATCCTGCCCTAATTGATTTGGCTCAGTGAATAGACCATCAGCCTGTGGACTGAAAGGTCCCAGGTTCAATTCCGGATAAGGGCATGTACCTTGGTTGCGGGCACATCCACAGGAGCAGGTGTGCAGGAGGCAGCTGATAGATTTTTCTCTCTCATCCCTCTCTATCCCTCTCCCTTCTTCTCTGTAAACAAATCAATAAAAAACTTTTTTTAAGTTAGTATCCTTACCCCAAATTGCAGAAAATGTCTTTATAATGTGAATGCAAAATAATATATGTTAAAGCATGTTTACCAATATACTGAGAGTGTTTAGCATGCAACATGGGAATGGATCAAATTCTCACATTTCATTTCAGAAAACAAAGGTGAGCTATTTGGATCTACGTCTCTGACTCATGTTCCCACTTTAATTTAAGATCTCAATCTAGTGCATTGGAAAGATTAAGTTATTTTAAATTACTTTTGGCATTTAATCAGATTTGGCTGCCACCCTCCTACAGACAATGAAACCACTCATTTCTTGTTAGCTTTTCATTTAATACAATTAAACTGATGTATGTCTACCTCCCAAAATCCTCTCAAGTTTAGGAAGTTATTTCATGAAAACAGAACTATCCAAGAGTACACAGTTAGTGATATTAGTAGATCCATATGCAATTATTTTCCTATTGCCATCCAGAGATAAAACCCTGGCTTAGGAGACAGGTGAAAGGAGCATTTGCAGGAATATTAGTCGACATAAAATTATCCTAAAGCAGGTAGGCCTCTGCCATTAGGAGTGCCTCCTGAGATATATAAGTCAAAAGAAAGTTTATGTGGCAGAATTGGGTGAGGAAACCTACCATAGTGCCTGCCCACAAACCATGCAGTTTGGAAACAGCCAAGAAACAAAACCATAGAGAAGGAGAGAGATAAATACAACATGTATTAGGGGTTATTATGCAACTACCCAGGCTCGCTATGACCCTGGAAATACAGCAAAAAATAGTTATGAAAAAGAAGCTCTTTTTTTATGCTCTGTAGCTAATTTTCAAACATAGGTACCTGTATCTGAAACTTTGAGCATTTCACACATTTTTCTGTATCTGAAAAAAAAAATGGATCCAGACTGATATTGTGTATCAATATAGCTGAAAACAGTTAATATAAAGGCGGCCAAAAGCAAAGTTCAATAAGAATTATAAAAAAGCATATTCTTCTGATTGCTGACAAAGTACTTCTGATGTACACTTGGCTCATATTGGAAAAGAATAATTTACTGTTTCATTTTTTTTAAGAAAGGATGAAATATCGATATTAAGATGATCCCATATACTTTTTAATTAAATAAAAAGTTAGATTAAAGTGTCTAGATCAAATAGTAACAATTAGACACTTTAGAAATAATATACAACTCCAGCTTGACAATATATATTTCAATATCTAACAGTTAATTAAACCTTCCCTTTACATAATTTTTGATATCAACATTATATATATCTCCATTCAAAAATGTCCAAGGGCATTAAATATTTTTAAATAACACATATCTTTTAATAACCTATTCTGTAAGAAATGTATACCCTTTGGTACAATGTATTTATATTAGGAGACATTTAAAGAGTACATAAAATTTTCTTATCCATGTGATTCTAAGCATTAAAGAGGAACTATCTAAACATAGGAATATGATTTGAAGGGGAAGACATGTTAAAAATGTAGTGGTAGTACTAATATTCAAAAGTTCCAGCCATATTCTGATGCAGTGAATAAATAACACATTTGACTGGGACTACCACGTATTACGTATATTTACAGGAAACTATAGGAGCCTCGTAGAGACAGGTTTAAATGACATACAACAAGCTTGGTGAACACATGACCAAAACAGAACCAGTAATAATTAAATTGCAATTTCAATGTTGGGTGTGACCATAAGATGGCCTAATTTATGTCGCAGATAGAATATTTATCCTTACTTAACCCCACTTTAATGATCATTCCTAACACCAAGTTTCCAAAATGCACGCCTCGTCCCTTTTCAGGGCCTCCGTAACTTACTGCTTTGTACGTCCTCTTCTGCCCAGCGTGCTTCCGAATCTGCTCCCCATTGGGCCCCGTCTCCACATGCATGGAGTAGATGATGTCGAAGAAATCTTCCACCACGGCCACCCGCCGCAGGGACAGCTTCTCGTCCACCCCTACGCCATCCTGAAGCAGGAGCAAAGCAAGCAGCACAAAACAAGTGTATTTAACACAAAGTGAACACAGAAAGTTGCTTAAACAAAAACATTTTCACGCGCTGAACCAGGGAACGTGAGTAACTTTCTCAGTCACTGCACTGCACTAGGTCACACACCCAGGGCTCAGCGCTGAAGCAGGCTCCCCTGTGAAGAGGAGAGAAACGGCAAAATAGACGTTTTCACTGCATTCAGGCAGAACGGGCTCATTCTCAAAGTGGCCAGAAGCTCTCTTTTCAGCCTCGGGGGCAGACCCAGCCATTGGGCCTGACATATGTCTACCTTCCAAAGTCCTCTCAAGTTCAGGTAGTTATTTCATGAAAACAGACTATCCAAGAGTACACAGTGATATTATAACAATTTACAATTATTTTCCTATTGCCATCCAGAAATAAAACCCTGTCTTAGGAGACAGGTGAAAGGAGCATTTGCAGGAATATTCAGTTCACTCACATATTCACACACCCAGAGACAACGACAACAAAACATCTAGTACAGCAAATAATTTGTAAAAATCTGGAGCTGAAGTAAACCTTTGATTTTATCTACTGCCTATTGAATAAATTCACCCTAATTACATAAAACATAGCACACTGATAAACAAAATTATGAACCCTTAATCTGCAACATTCTTCAATATCTTCTAAAGTGTTTGTCATGAACCATTCTTTTTTTTTTTTAAAAAAAGGGAAACAACAAAATAACTTGTAAAAATTCAAACAATATTTATGGGAAAAGAAATAAAATAGAACAAAGTAAAAGAAGCATAAATAGAAAAATGAAGTATTTCAACCTAAAATAATACTTCAGCCAAAACTGGTTTGGCTCAGTGGATAGAGTGTTGGCCTGCGCACTGGAAGGACCCGGGTTCGATTCCCGTCAAGGGATGTACCTTGGTTGCGGGCACATCCCCAGTAGGGGGTGTGCAAGAGGCAGCTAATAGATGATTCTCTCTCATCGATGTTTCTAACTCTCTGTCCCTCTTTCTTCCTCTCTGTAAAAAATCAATTAAATATATATATATTTAAAAATACTTCAACCTAAAAAAATTAAAATGTGTGTTTTGAGTGGCAACCCTATAAAAATGCATTACTTTTATACCAGCAATTCATTTGCAAAAAATAGAAAACCTGTAATTCCACTTCTTTCCAAGATTGATGATTTACCCAAGAACACAGTACTGAGGTCCAAGTGTACGAGTCTTCAATGAGAAGATAATTACAAGTATTCACGGAGCATGTCCATTCTCCTTCCGCACAAACAGAAGTCTGAGTCCCCAAGCAGCCAAGGCCTTGGGCACAGAGCAAGCTGGGCAGCACTGCCCAGCCATATGCTCCGGCTGCACGGAGCTGCCTGTCAGATGCTGTCTCGCAGGAGTGATTCCACCGCCTCCTCCGGCTGCTGCTGCTGCTTCCCTGGAAGCACAAACCACTTTCCCTCCCAAGGTCCTGATGAACCAGGCCTCACTGAGGCTGCTTGCTTCCCTGCTTTTCTTCTTAAATATATTCTTACTGATTTCAGAGAGAGAACCATCCATGATGAGAGAGATTCATTGATTGGCTGCCTTCTCCATGCCCCACGCTGGGGATCGAGCTTGCACCAGGACATGTGCCAGGACCAGGAATCCAACCGTGACCTTCTGGTTCATGGGTGGATGCTCAACCTCTGGGCCATGCCAGCCGGCCGGGCTCCCCTGCTTTTTCATTATGTCATTGCAATAACATCTATTAATTACGAAGTAAACAAGGACAAAGCAGAAACAAATTTTCTCTCCCTGAAAACGGATTGTTTTCATATAAATGTAGGGCTCATCTGAAGATTTAGTCAGCTGAGCCATCTCCTTTGGTTATCATGTGGATAACGCAGTATTTGACTGTGACCAAGCAGCACAAAGACATCTTTTCGCATCTTCCCTTAACGAACAGACACAATCATTAGCTGAGAGAAGTGGCAAAGTTACACCCTTGGTACTAAGAACCAGAGCAAGGCAAACAAAAATGAGTTTTAGAGATGCTAGTATTCATTGAACAAAATTAACAGGTCAAAAGTCATATAGTGTTCCTGGCCGATGGCCTGTAATGCATGAGTATATTTGGAAGAGATGCTAACAAAATAAAAAATAATTTAAAGCCCTTACAGCTAAGAAACCCATCTGGTGAGTCAATGCCACGGTGAGGGAGGAGGAGGAGAGAGAAACAATTTAGGAAAGCTCTGAGGGTAAGAACTGAACTAGGTGCATTTGACAACAAAGCAAAAATTACTGACCTAATCATAAGGCAAGGAAGTAAAGCCTAGAAATAAGGTTCTTTATTCAGAATTGATCAGAGGAGCTACAGTAGACTTTCTGTGAGAAGGAAATGTGAACATTAACTAATGAGATGCGGAAGTGTGGTCTTTGTCAATACTACCACACTTCCCCAAGAATCTAAATGCATTCTGTGCCATGATTTGTTGCTATTATTATTATTATTATTATTATTATTATTATTATTACTGTCACCCAGAGATTCACAATATAAAAGTCTGAATCAGTCTCTTATCCAGTGATCTATAATTCTACCTGTGAAATCTCTCCAATCTTCCCTCCTCTCCTTGTCTTACTGGTCTCCTGATTCACGAACCCAGCAAATGACTTTGGAACCCCCACCATAAGTCACCTGGAGTGCTTGTGCCAAACCTACTTTCGATAGTGTGTGTGCAGTGCTCAGCCTTGTTTGGACTTGGTGAGGAAGAGTACTTCTATGGGTTAGCATTGCCTACAATGGGTAAACAATATGGTGGAATTCCTGCCAACCTTGGCTTAACTTTGGGGACAGCATTCTCTTTAGCACTTTTCCACTGATTTCTCTCTCTTCCAATGTGTCCTCAAAAAATTCAAGTAGCCAAAACCGGTTTGGCTCAATGGATAGAGCATCGGCTTGGGGACTGAAAGGTCCCGGGTTCGATTCCGGTCAAGGGCATGTACCTTGGTTGCGGGCATATCCCCTGTAGGGGGTGTACAAGAGGCAGCTGATTGATGACTCTCTCTCATCGATGTTTCTAACTCTCTATCTCTCTCCCTTCCTCTCTGTACAAAATCAATAAAATATATATATATAAAAAAAATTCAAGTAATCTTCCTTAAAAATTATAACTATCTCACTGAAGCCGGTTTGGCTTAATGGTAGAGCGTCGGTCTGTGGACTGAAAGGTCCCAGGTTCAATTCCGGGAAAAGGGCATGTACATTGATTGCGGGCACATCCCTGGTAGGGGTTGTGCAACAGGCAGCTGGTCAATGTTTCTCTCTCATAGCTCTCTATCTCTCTCCCTTCCTCTCTGTAAAAAATCAATAAAATATATATATTTTAATTATAATTATCTCTGAAACTAATATATTAAAGGTTAACTGTAATTAAAAAAATAAAATGATGGTAACTATAATATATCAATTTAGGATTTATAAATTTCTACTAGACTCTCACACCTCTAAGATACAATTCACACTCCGTGATTTATTATACATTTAAATATTCTTAATCTGATTCCAATTTACTTACCACTACCCGCCTTGTTTCTTATCATTCCAACACATTCTAATCACAATGAACTCAACTTTCCCTGAAAATTTTTATGAAGTTTCCATATAACTTATGACTTACGACTTCCCCATTAGAATCTAAGCTTTCTGCAGGCAAAAAACTGCATTTGTCTTTTTCACCGCTGCATCACAAGAACATAGAATTATACCAAGCAGAAAATAAACAGACCATAATTTTTGAGTAGATAAATCAGAAATCAATAAATGAATGTGCTCTGCTTTTCCCCTAGAATATCTTTTAACTGGTAAATTCCTGTTCAGCCTTCAAAACCCAATTCCATGACCAGTCTTCCATGAAGCAATCTCTGACTCCTTAAAGCTAAAAAGTCTGATTACAAAATGGGCAAAATATCTGGACATATATCTCACGGAAAAAGTTGTACAAATGGAAATCAAGTATGTGAAAAGATGTCCTACGAATACGTCATCAGGAAATTGCAAATTAAAAAAATGAAATGCCACCACAAACATAAGTTATAATGTTTACAAAATACTGTGTTAAGACAGAGTCTGTATCGTAATTTAAAAAAAAAAAAAAAAAAGCTCTCAAGATATTGTAGCTTAAGAAGATGGAAATGTATTTATCTCTCATCTAGCAGTCCAGTGGGCTGGACGTGGCTCCGCTGTCAGAAACACGCCCAGGGCCCTCCAGACGTCACTATTTCCCATCCAGAAGTACAAGCGAGAGCGTCCAGGAAATACAGTGTGCTCAGCGTGCCTGCTTAAGGTCCACACTCCATCACTGGACCTCACCGAGAGACAAGGAAAGCTAGCAAACGCAGCCACATGTCCCGCTGTAAGTCAGAGGGTGCTGTTCCTCTGAGGAGGAAAACAATGAATAAGAAGGGCAAGTGGCAGCTTCTACCTCATTTACTGGCCAGACCTGACAGACACATAGGACATGTGCAGAGATACAAGGGGAAATGAGTAGAAAATAGGTTTAACATTTGTAAATGACAGTACTGTTTGATCAAACAGGCAGTCCGCATAGAAAGATGGGAACCAACGGAAATGTGAATTTGGAATTACTGAAGAGAAGCAGGGCAGGGAAAAGACCGCCACGTAGCAGCCAGGCTCGATTTTTCCCACATTGAAGGCATCCCATCATTCTTGCCATGATTCATAGTTCCATGTTCATCTTTCTTTCTGAGCACTCAGAAAGAGAAAACTAAAATGACAAAAAGCAGGCTTAAGGAAAGTGAGTTTCAAAACAATCAGCAAAGAACAAGACGTTCTTTCCATAAAGAGAATTTTCCCAAGAAGAGATGTTCACAGAGCAGCAACTAAAAATGCCTGTTTGCAAAAACGTTTCCAATGTCCTCCACCCTGAGGGTGGCGTATGACCCTCCTCTTCTGGCTCTTAGAGTTCTCCTAATGTTAGAAGTTCCCAAAT